CGGTTGGAGGGAGGGGGTGCAACCCGGCACCCGGGGAGCGCCAGCGGAGGGAGGCCACCGAGAGGGGGAGAGCCCCAGGCGGGCTGCGGACCTGCTTCCTGCTTCCTGCTCCGGGGCCTGGCCACCGCCCCTCCCTCGGGGCGCCCTCTGCCGGCTGCGCGGCACCCCAGGACCTGGGGAGCCCGGGGCTGCTGTGATTTCCAGCCCGGATCCGGAGGCCACAGCAGGCTCTCCCGACTGGCCCAGCCCCGGTGCTTTCTGCACAGACCCCGGAGCCCCGCAGCAGTTCTTCGTATCCACTGTTGTTTTCTTCTAAGGAATAAAACATTGCGAGTGGGTCCGAGTCTGGGCGGGTGACTGGACAGGAAGCACGGGAGCTTCCCACCGGATGTGGCGGAGGTGTGGTGAGCTCGCCGCGCGGCCCTGGGGAGCGAGGCCTGCAGGAGTGCGGCAGTTCTCGAACCCCTTAACGAGGCGGAGCCAGGCTTGCTGGCCTCGGCGCTTGGGCAGCCTGTTTAATTCCGTTTGTGGCTACGGAAGGAGATGGCCACTCCCCAGGCTCTGCTGCTAGGACCGCGGGTGGAGGGGTGGGGGGCGCTGCCTGGCCAGCCTGGCACAGCCGAGGCGGGAGCCCTGTCACCTGGTGCGGTGGCGTGCTGGCGTTAACGCAGGTGCTCCCCGTCCTCACAGGGCCCGGCTTTCCCAGGGGGGGGACGGGCACTTCCAGGGTAACCTGCCCAGGGCCCCCATCCGGCCGGAAGCCGGGCTAAGCCAGTGTGCGCTGGGCCGTCCCCTCCCCACCTCGTGGCAGGGCACTGGTGGTACTGGCCTTCTGCCTGGGGTGGGGTCTGGGGCCAGGGGAGGCCAGGAGACCTTGAGGACAGCCTGACTTCTCAGGGGTCTCCCGAAGTGAGGAACACATCGCGGGTCTCGTGGGGTCCTGTGTCTCTTCCTTTGGGTGCATGTTCTCAGAGAGACCACCTCACGTGGAGGCGCCCTGGGGCTCCTGTGGTCACAAGAAGTCGAGAGGCTGGATGGGGAAGCGCCATACCATTAGGTGCTGGTTCTGGTAACCCGAGTTGGGGACTTAAAGATGGTTCCAGAGGCCGCCTCGGTGCTCCCAGCGCTGCCAGTCTCCGGACCAGCTCCCCTACCTCACAGCCCTCTCCCTGTGCCTGGGCACATGCTCTGCGGCCCTCCCGGACTCCTGGCTCCTGCCCTCACTTACCTGGGTCACCGGTGGGGTCACGTCCGTGGAATGAGTCGCCCAGTGTGGACCACCGTGTGGAGAATTGCTGCTGCTCCTGTCCGAGCTGAGGGAAGCACAGCCCCAGAGCAGAGGCCAGGAGGGCGGGTAGGGCACTCAGGGGGCCAGACGCAGAGCAGAGGCCAGGAGGGCGGGTAGGGCACTCAGGGCCAGGTGCAGAGCAGAGGCCAGGAGGGCGGGTGGGGCACTCAGAGGGCCCTCCCTGGGCTCTGCCAGACCCCCCATCATCTGTGGATGGGGTTCCTGGACGTACCCACCAGCGCAGGGCCTCTCTCCTTCACAGGGTGTGCTGGGGGCTCACTGCGGAGGCAGCACCGCGGGGCCGGAACAGGGTGGAGCTGTGATCCAAGGGAACGGGCCTGCCCAGCTCTAGGCTGTGTAAGTGCCCTGAGCCCTTTTTCTTAAGTTTTGCTTAGGGTGTGTGCACTCACTGGAGAGACGGGGAAGTGACAGATCACCCCACGGAAGGATGGCTGTGCCTTCTCCTCCGTTACCCTCCTGGGTCTGGGGGCACGGTGTGGTTTTTTTCTTTTTTCTTTAGAGAGATTTTTACTAGAGTGCGTGTGCTTTCCAGAGAGACAGAAATCACCTACCAGGGGGATGGCCACGCCGCCATCTCTTCCCTTTCATTCTCCCCTTGGGATTCTGGGTACACATGCACGCGTGCCCAGTATGAGTTTTAAGCCACTAGGTCTGGGACTGAACTGCAGTCGACTATGTAGCCATTACGCCGACTACTGGTCCCCCTGTGTAGTTTTCAAGCCACCAGGTCCAGGACTCAAACCATTGTCCTCCATCACCCACATGGGAGTCTAGTAGCTCCTTAGCCACTATGCCACCTGCCGGTCCCACTCTGAGCACATTTTTTTTTTTTTTTAAAGAGAGAATTTTGCTATAGGGCAGAGAGACAGCGAGAAACCCCTCCCCGGTATGATGGTCATACCACAGATTCCTTCTCCATTCTCCTCTCGGGATTTTAGACAAGCGTGCACATGTGCCTAGGATGAGTTTTAAGCCGCAGGGTCCAGGACTTGGACTGTGGGCAGCCACATGAGAGTCCAGTGCCATAACCACTACACCATCAGCTGGTCCCACTCTGGACAGTTCTAAGGTGGGTTGTGCTCAGCTATGATGTAGGTCGATTAGGTGTATTAATGCTTTTTTTCTTACAGTATTTTCAACTTCGGGTTTATTTGGACTCGAACCAGTAATTCTTTCTTCCTTCCTTTCTTTTTGGAGAGGTTTTTGCTGTAGGGCGCATGTACTCGCCAGAAAGAGAGAGAGACAGAGATTGAGAACTTCAGGGGCAGTCGTGGTGCCCCAGCACGTGTGGAACCTGCCCCCACTGTCCTCACACCAGTCCTCCACGCAGGTCTGGAAGGACAGTGGTGTGGTCGGGGCTGGAGGCCGAGGAGAGGGCCGGGCCTCAGGGGCAGCACTGGCCGTGCCCCTGCCCTGCTTCCTGGGGTCGGGCTCTTTTTTTTTTTGAGAGGTTTTTTTGAGAGTTTTTTGCTATAGGGCGCGTGTGCTCGCCAGAGACACAGAGAGACAGAAAGCGAGAAATCACCCCCCAGGGGGGTGGCCACACCGCAGTCCCTTCTCATCCATTCTCCCTTCGGGATCTTGGGCACGCACACACACACATGCCCAGCATAAGTTTAAGCCACCAGGTACAGGACTCAAACTGCAGTTGACTACGTGGGAGTCCAGCAATGTAGCCACTATGCCATCTGCTGGTCCCTGTATCATTATTTCTTCATAAATGAGTTTATGCATTTTTATATGTCA